ACCTATTGCTATCTGTTTTCGACTGTCGTTGCATGTGCTACATTTAAGTTTTGCAATTTAAGAAATTCAGAACTTTGTTATATAGATAGTTTTGAATTTCTAAAATTTCAAAACTTTAGCATTAAGTAACAGTTGTTCGTCGGTCATCCGTTAGCATTTGAACATTTTCAACCTCTTCTCTAAGGGTGGAGGAAAACACTACAATTTATGCAAACTATGAATCAAAGTATGTGTTTTGTTATTTTATTATTTATGAAGTCTTACAGGTAAAGTATTTAGTTATCTTTCTTTTGGGTTAACCTGTAGATTTGTAGCTATTTATAGATGTGTTCAGTAAGTGGTCATTCCGGATTGGTCATGTGATTTAAGGAGGGAATTTTTATTGTCCCCCGCTTTCGTGAAAGCGAGGGGACATTAAATCTCATTGTCTTCTTGTTTGTCATGCCCAAGCATTCAGATGGGTGTATAAGTGTTATGAGACATTTTAGAAGTTTTGTTTGTGCTGAATTTGATATTCTTGGTTTGAAGATATTTCTGGGCTTAGTTTATTCCATTACCAGGTTAGTGTTTAATTTAGGTTTTCACAATTTCTTTATTTTCCTTACTTTATGTACTTTGTGTAAATGTTTGAATGTTAGGCAGTATGAGGGTCATGCAGTGAATGTCTTTTGTGAGATTTGTATGAAAGCTGTAAATAAGTTATGTAAATATAGTTTATTTTATTTCTAAATAATTTGCTAAAATTAGAATGGAGAGAATGAGTGCATTTTAGTCATAAAGTTTTGAAGTAAACAAATTCCTAAAGTATTTATTATTCTAAATAACATTGAACACATTGAACACCATATCATTTCTTTTTACATTATTCAGTCAGCTAGACAGCTGATTTTGTTTTCACCTGACCTTTACACCTCATGGGAGGTAAGGTTGATTGTGTGTTAGTATAAAAATGAATTCAGCATTATTTTTTTTAATATTGATGATTTAAAAAGTGTTTTTGAAAGTATTTAAACTCATTTTTCTTTATTTGTTCAATTCATGTAATTCGAGAGTTTTGCATGAAGTTATCTGTTATCTTAAATTTCTTGAGTTTGTGTTCATCAGAAACTATGAATATTCTAAGCTTATTTATAATGAGTTTATGACAAGTATTGTATGAAAGGATAATAGTTAATATTTGAAATTTTGGTTTTATTTTATATCGAAACTGCTTTGCTTGTGAAAATTTGCATGCAGAGTTATTGTTCTTGTATTTATAATTTTAATACATATTACAGGGTCATCTATATCATCTTTATCATCTATAATGGGAAAAATTACAATATCACAATAAACCAGATGGATTGTGTTGTTGTCTATTTCCACCCGGTTTCATGCATTATATCCTAAAATCGTCTCCTCTGCTCCTGGGTACTATGTACCGGGTACATAATTGTGATAAGGAAGGGACTGCCTCTTTCATAATTGTGAATTGCATGGCCCCTAGATCAGGGGTTCTCGGGTTACATGTAGGACGGGGCCCCTTTGGTTACATCTGGTTTAAAACATGTACCGAATTCAACTGAAGTTCAGTTGTTACATGATACTCAGGTGACCTAACTTTATATGCAGTCCTTAAAATGACACAAGTAAAGAAGTTACGCTTGATTTAGCTAAGTACCATACTATCTTTCAAAAATTCTTAATTTGTAATGTATACCTAATAAAATATTTATCTGCATTATTTTATACCATTTATTATACAGAGTCAGAATGGCGGTACCAAGTACTCCTCAGCATTATATTGAGTGTGAAATGTGTGACGAAAACTGTCTATACCATTGCAATTCGTGTTATGTGAGACTGTGCGAAAAGTGTCGTGACAACCACAAAATAAATCCGTACACCAAAGCCCATGATATTAGTAGATACAACCCTAGAATCTTGGCGATCCCTTTGAAGAAATGTCCACGTCATCGAACTAAGGATTTAGATATGCATTGCAAAGAATGCCAGATCCCACTATGTTCAAACTGCGCTATAGCCCCAGATCATCACGGGCATACGTTTGAAGATCTTGAAGAAATATATTCTAAACATTTTGAAGCATTCAAAATTGATTTGTGTAAAATCTACGAATATTTCCTGCCAGCATCCAATGACGTTCTGGATGACATTCAGGATGACGTCACTAAAGTAAAAAAGATGATAGGCGAGACAAGAAGAAAACTAAAATTAGAAACCGAGGCTGTGAAACGTGAGATTGAAACAGCATTCTCCGAGAAAATGGCCCAGTTAGAGAAGATAGAGAGGGAAACTCTTAAAGACCTGTACACACAAACTAAGACAATGACTGATTACATTTCTTATCTCAACGGACTTGCCAAGAAGTATCAATTCAAACTTGTAAATAAAGACCCGGAATATCTTGTGCGAAACGAGGCAGAAGGGATAAACTCTATCCCAAAGACGTCAAAGCCTGCCTATCCAACAGTGATCGCGGGGAACTTAAACAAAGCAGAGGTTCTAAAAGCTTTGAGTAAAATTTTCCCCAATGTCTCAACAGAGGAAAGAAATGTTCGGAAATTGTTTAGTCTAAAGTCTCTACCCCATCTTCAGTTTATTAAACAAAACCAAAAAGATATGGTAAACTCGAGGCCTTGTAAACGGTGGAAAATGTCTAACTTTGTCACTGAGGCAGAGGGAATCACTGTGCAAGGTCTGAAAAGTATTCTTCACGTCTCAAAAGATCAGGCAGACAGATTGTGGGTCAGCGAGTTTGGCGGGAATCTTGTGCAAACTGATAAACGGGGAAATCGACTGAGGAGCATGAAAATTAGTGGAACAGGAAGAGCTTGCCATACAATGACATTAATGCACGGGAATCTCCTATTTATAGGAAAGGAAAACAATGTCATCTATAAAATATCAGATGACAAGATTATAAAATTCGTCAAGACAGAGGACTGGACTGCGCTCAGCATTTACTCCTCATACAGAAATGAAGACATACTAATGGGAATGATTAAAGATGATACTGAAACAAACGATGCTAAAGTGACAAGGTACAGCAAAACAGGAAAGAAAATTCAGGATATAAAGAATAGGAATAGATGCTGGACAGGAATGCTTTATAAATTTCCAGATTACCTAACAGAGAATATTAATGGAGATATCTGTGTATCGGACAGGAGAAAGGAGGCAGTGGTGGTTGTAAATAAAGCAGGAAAATATCGATTCTCCTACACAGGTCAGCAACCAAATTCAGAGTTCTCTCCGTGTGGAATATGTACTAGCACCCTCGGCCACATTCTGATTTGTGATCCGAAGAGTTATTCAATCCACCTGTTGGACAAGGACGGTTTGTTCCTTTCTCTGTTGAACATAGGTCAATCCGGTTTGGTCAGACCCTGTGGACTGTGTGTAGATCTGGAGAATCAGCTATATGTTGGATATTATGAAAGCAATGCCCTTACAAGATACACACTGTACAAATATTAGTATCTGCATTATACATTAATAAAATCATTGTTACACAAAAGACATTATTATCATAAATGTCGGTAATAACTATCAGATAATTATTTTACACTTGCATTTTTTTTTTACAAAATATCTTTAGAGGTTAGATGAAAAGTTGGAACATGTGTTTCTGATCTGATAATTTTTTGATGACGTTCGTGATTTATTGGAGAATGATGTCCGCAGCATTACTTTGATCTCAGCAATAATGGTAATAATTATATCACATTACGGTTAAATATATGAGGAAAATCTTTCCTTACACTTTACACAGATATTCAATATCTTAACTTATTACATGTAAAGTAGATGCAAGTTACATATTTACCTAGAGAGAAATTGAGAATGATTGTCCGAGCGCAGTGGAAAGCCTAGAGCAGATTCCGAGGGTTTTTGTCTGTATCCATGGACTGAATAAACCCAAACACTAAATCATTCCCCATAGACTATAGTTCTGTAAAACAGTAAGCTTGGCTTCAAATTTAGCATAACTGGCAAAACAATGGTAAAACTGTTAACATGCAATATTATGCATACAAATTAATTTTTGTACATTAAAACTATCATTATAGTTGTGTTTGACTGTTTGCATTTTATACGTTCATTGAGACTATAAAAGGTTTTTACATCTCATGTATAGAATTTCATTAAATGTTAACTTCAGTTACATGTATTGTTTAATAAACAAGTAAAATTGTCAATGAAATACATATTTCATGTATAACTGACCTTTAAGTTTTTTTTCCAGTAGTGCTGTGTAGATCTTGTACACCGTACATCTGTCCGTCTGTGATAAGGACTGGACCGGTACTTCTTAAAACACCCCCTTACATATCGTCTCTGTACACTCCTCTGGTAGCTTAGATCCACTCCCTGTTATCCGTACAAAATCATCATGCCATAATTAAATGTCCTTTTATACCATCTAACTTGCACATAAATGTTAAATTACAAATTCTCATATCTGAAACATTTCTTAATTTAATCATTTACACAGAGAAATGTTTTTAACTTACTAGCATGTACATCTATAAATGAAAATCACAGTTGTAATTAACTTCAGTAAGCAGCTCTAATAAATATAATGTTCTCTATATGCTTCACATATACATGTACATCTACCTTGCATGAATTAGGAATAAAAGACAATAAAAAAAAGTTTCTGTGTCTCACCAATCATATAACATAAAACTTTTAAAAAAGATAAATGGTGACCACTAGGACTTGGCAGGAATGGCCTTCATGATTTCTTTTTATTATTTATAAAAGAAGAAATCATACATGAAATTCTCAATCTTTATCAAAACCTATAAGCTTCTAGTTTCAATGCATATATTTTGTTAATCTTTCAGTATTCACCTGTGTGTTTACATTTCATTGCTGAACATCTTGGTGTCGTATTGAATAAATTTAAAGTCCAAGTACACAAGTCCTTAGTTATCTACCGGTAATATGCAGAGTAAAAACTAGGTCATTAAGGTAGGCAACACCAAACAAACATGGCTGTCAGTGTCTCCAAAAAATATCCACTGGGCTCTCCTCAAGAGCACATTGTAATGTGTGAATCTCATGATTTACCTATTGATGTTATATGTGAGGAATGTGAGGAATTTATTTGTGGTGATTGTGCAAAAACGAATCATAGAGATCATAACTGGAAAACTCTATCCACGGCAGCTACCCAAAGGAGAAGAAATCTGCTTAAATTTCTAAGAACGATCAAGGAAGAGGATCTTTCTGGGATTGAAGAGAAGAATGAGAAGGTGACAAAACAGATCGCAGAAAATATAGCACTTTGTGACTACGAGATAAAAAAACTACAGAAGCATGTTGATGAGATAATGGCAAGGTTGACAGAAATCAAAAAGTTCCATAAGAAAACATTGAGAGACAATCTAGTTAAAAAAAATGAGCAACTGAACCATGTGAAATCTGAGTTAGAAAAGAAGAAGAGAGGAATAGTTGACACAGTAGAATTCATGGAGGATAACAACAGCACCATGTCAGATTACAGCTTGATCGACAACCACAGAGAACTGACAAAAATGTTGTCTGAATTGGATGTTGATGTGAGGAACTGTGAACATTCAATGAGGTTCAATAAAGGTGAAATCAAAGATGATTTACTTGAGCTGACGTTAGGAAAAACTATGGATTTAGATGAAATTGGCTTAACTCAAATAAACTCATTTCAGACTGGAGATAAAATAATTTTCTTGCTGGAGGCATTCAGTGAAGAAAAATGTTACATATCAGAAATTGAATCAGAATATACAGGAAAAATTAACAAAGAAGGAGCAAAAGAACAGAAATTTAGTATCAGTCCTAATGACATGTGTGTGACTGATAACAGTGATGTTTATTTTACTGATTGTGTAAAGAAATCCATCAACTGTCTGTCACCATCAGGATCTGTCTCTACAGTCATCTGTACAGTTCAACTGGTATCTATAGGAATCTGTCAGTCAGTGGACGGTGGACTGCTGGTCACTTTGATGGATGGGGAATCAGGTCTTCACAAATTAGACTCACGCAGCAGACGTCTGGTGAGACACATCACAATGACAGGTGATGTCATCCATGAGTATGAGTACAAGGAGGACGGTCACACCAGACTGTTTAAATGGCCACAGAGAATCACACAGAACAGTAACAGTGATATCTGTGTTGCAAACATTACAGGTGACACTACAGGTGAACTAGTGATTCTGTCTCCCTCTGGTCGTATGAAGTCTGTCTACCGTGGACAGAACCTGACAAAGAACTTTAATCCAACTGATGTAGTGTGTGACTTCCTGTATAACATCCTTGTTACTGACTATTACAACAGACAGATCCACCTGCTGAGTCCTGACGGGGAGTTCCTGAAATTCTTACTGACAGACAATGAAGTGAACAGTCCATTCTCAGTGTCTTTATACAAGTCTATACTGTGGGTGGGATACGGGGAAGGTCTTGTCTCAGTGTTTCAATACAGAGTGTAAAATATAATATACATGGATTGTGATTCTCATTCATATGATATAAATGTACACAGTTGTTTGATTAAATAATTAGTTTAAGGTTTGAATAATTATGGATATATTTTTTTTTATGTCATATTGATATTCTGTTCAAATTTTAAGTGTTTACTTCAAATTCATTTTATAGTTTAAATTCACAAACTTGTATTTTAAATTATTTTGTTTTACACCCTGTAGAATTGCTTTTTATAAATTACATGTAATTATCTTCTTTGAATATGAACGCTTTAAAAATTTAAGTTAAGAACATTACTAATGTGCACTGCCAAACATTATTTCATATACTGGGAACATGCCATAACAAAATTTAGCTTATATGACATCAAATATTTTTAAACAAGAAATTTCTCATTGACTAAGAGTTCTTTTGATATCTGCACAAATACTAGTTGTTTCTGGGTAATTGATTAGATATTTTTATGGTTCTTGGCTCCAAAAATAAATGTTTCTGTCTTGACAATAAAGGCATTCTATTATGTGTAAACATAAATCAATTTCATGAATTGCTTTTGTTGAACCCTTCCTTGAAAGATTTTTGTATCAAATGATGCCAACTCTGATGATAGTACATACATCCAAGCTCCTCCACCCTCTTGGAGGTGAGCTAAAAACCTTGTTTCTGAAATAAATAATGTGTTGTCTGTTATACATTTATACTTACTTTGTTCCTGAAATGAATAATATGTTATTCGCTGTTATACTTACCAATGTCAGTAGTCCTCTCAATGCCTGGGGCTGTATGGAGTGATGATCCTGAAGTCTCTCACACAAATACGTCACCAACGACGTAACTGAAAATAACAAATTAAGAAAATTCTGAGCATTGTGATGTAACTTTTGAAAATACGTATCATGATCTTTGTTTCTTTTAATCAGTTTTACAGGATTAATATCATGGATAACTTTACAACCGATGTGAAGTCTATTTATACTAATACTAATATTCTGTATCATTCAGATGTTTTGAATAAAAACATATTCCAAAAAACGTGTAAAATTTAAAAGTTTTTTAACAATAATTCATAATACACAATAAAAAGACAAAAAAATTGGTCACCTTCCATTGGGGACAGCAGTGTGTTTGGGATGACGGCGATAACATCACACAAGAGTCTGATGACATGCCTCCTTATCTGGTGATCCTCATTGCTCAAGTAATCCCTAGGAAAGAAACAGATTTGTTAACTATAATACTGTAAAAGCACAAATTTTTATGGGGATAAAATTTTGTTAGTTTGTTATCCAAAATGGTTTCATGGACATTATGTTTCATTGTTTCTAAATTAATCCTATTCAATATAAAGTAATATGACAATGAATTTCATGTGGGATTTAATTTGGCTGATTATTGTTTACAACAAAATAAACAAATTTTAATCTCCAACGAAGTTTTTTGCTTTTATAGTAGATACAAAAAATGACCAAATAGAATTATACAGGTACAAGTATGTATCAATTTTATTTTAGGGAACTTTAAAGCTAAAATTAAGGAGAAGTATAATATATAAAATCTACCATTAAATATCAGAAAGTACCCACCCTATATTTCAATAACTTCCAGCAGGGAGATGGACTTTTATTGCAAGCCTTCTAATTACATAAAAATGTTAATTAGCACTTTCTAAATTCTTCCTAAAGAAGAGCTCAACAAGAAAAATGATATAAACATGTACTGTACATGTAATTCTGAATTTAACTGCATACGTACAAGTTCCTCTGCCAAATGTGACATTGTCTCTTAATTTTTGAGGAGAGGATCCAGAAGCATGCAAAATTGTCAAATTAATACCCATAATTCCCTGGATGTATGAGAGAAAAAAGAACAAGATGTGTTTGTGAAACACTATGCGCCCGGCGGCAACAAAGTTGGAAAAAACTATTTTAGCATATAGGTCATAGTCAAGGTCACAAGGTCATTGATCTTGGTGTCATTTGAAAGAACTTTATTAGTTGAGTATGCATACCAAATATGAAGTCTGTATCTTTCATTGTTCAAAAGTTATGGTGAATGTTCAAAAAATCTATTTTCAGCATATAGGAGACAGTCAAGGTCACAAGGTCATTGATCTTGAGGTCATTTGAAAGAGCTTAATTAGTGGAGTATGCATACCAAATATGAAGTCTCTATCTTTTATGGTTCAAAAGTTATAGTGAAGGTTAAAGTTTGCAGAAAAGAAAACAATTTTTAGCATATAGGTCACAGTCAAGGTCACAAGGTCATTGACCTTGGTGTCATTTAAAAGAGCTTCATTAGTGGAGTATGCATACCAAATATGAAGTCTCAACCATTCATGGTTCAAAAGTTATAGAGAAGGTTAAAGTTTGCAGACAAACAGACAAACAGACAAACAGACAGACAGACAGACAGACAGGACAAAAACAATATACGCCTCGGATCTTCCGATCCGGGCGCATAAAAAAAAATCAGTTCCACAGAACAATTCAAATTGATAAATATTAACAAATTTGTACATGCCATTGTCATCAAATTGTTAGTTCAGTTAAACACGTTTTTTATTTGTTAGTGACGAAATAGTTGCACCTCAAACATGGAAAATATGGTATTCTAGAAAAAGTTTCAAAAATAATCTTTTGGTTTTTTAAACGAAAATCCTTCAAGTCAACTTTAATTTTTTTATTTGGAATGCATAAAAAACTTTCTAATCAGGAGGTCCAGGGTCCACATCGCTCACCTGAGCAATCGATTTGGAAAAAGCACAAATCAGATCAGAACTTAAACGTTTACTGAAGAAGGGGGGGGGGGCTTGAATTTTTAATCTACTCGAGAATGCCTTTATATTCATACAGCATATGACTTTGCTGTCCTTAATAAAAAGATTTTTCAAAACATTTTCTTCTCATATATAACTTCATACTAATTTGAATTTGATTTCCCTTGTTTCCCTCCCTACCGCAAAGGGTCATGATTTGAATAAATTTAAATCTTCAATACAAGAGGATGCTTAAATGTCAATATGACTAGACATAGCTTTTCTGTTCTTGTGATTTTTCCCTTTTTTCTATGTAATTAAAAACCGTGATCCACCATTGTGGCCCCAGCCTACCCTTAGGATATTGTTTTGAACAAATTTAATTCTACACTACCCAAAAATGCTTCTATATAAATACTTGTATCACTCATCAATGCTTTGCTATTCTTGAGAAGAAGATTTTTTTCATACATTTTAATGTAAAACTTGGATCCTCCATTGTGGCCCCACCCTATCCCTGGAGGTTATTATTTGAACAAACTAGAAACTACACTAAATGAGGGTGATTCCATATAAATATTACTAATCATGGCTTTGAAGTACTTGAAAAGAAAATTTTTAAAGATTTTTCCTACACATTCCTATGTAAAACTTTGATCGCCCATTCTGACCCCATCCTATCCCCGGGGGTCATGATTTGAACAAATTTGAATCTACACTACCTGAAGATGCTTCCACATGAGTTTCATCTCTCCTGGTTCAGTGGTTCTGGAGTAAAGGATTTTTAAAGATTTTCCCTATATATATTCCTATGTTGTACTTTGTACATTGTGGCCCCACCCTACCACGGCGGTCATGATTTGAATAAATTTGAATCTACACTACCTGAGGATGTTTCCACATGAGTTCCATCTTTCATGGCCCATTGGTTCTTGAGAAGAATTTTTAAAAATGCCATTGATTTTTCAATAATTTATAATTCTCTCCCCCTTGGAAGAGGGCTTGGCCCTTCATATGAACAAACTTGAATCCCCTTTGTCCACAAGTTTGGTTGAAATTGGCCCAGTGGTTCTTGAGAAGAGGATAAAAATGTGAGAAGGTCACAACGACAACGACGACGACAACAACGACAGACAACGGACAAATGTTGATCAGAAAAGCTCACTTGAGCGTTCGGCTCAGGTGAACTAATAAATGGAGGTTAAAAAAAATTGAGTACGTCCTGTTGTTTTTAGCCAGTTGGTTGAGAGAGGGCAACCAAATAATTAATTTTTTTAAGAATTAAGAATACATGTTGCTTGCCTATTGATAAGTAACAGAAAACTTCTACATAACTAATTATCAACTCCATATTTCTTAATAAAGGGATCACAACAAAAGTGAAATAGAGATGGAAATATTTTTTTTTTACTGGATCCTTTATTTAAAAAAAAATAAAAGGGAACTTACTTCAAAAGCAGAGATGTCAATACCATACAAAATTTACAATAGAACGATTGGGTTGTGAACATGGTGAACATGGTATAAAATGAAAGCAGACAATCTCTATATGAACACACTCAAGCAAACAGAATAATAAAATGTACTATGTACCTGCAGAACTGTATCTTGTGGTTTTATATTTAATTAGACATTAATTACTTGTATTATGCTACAGATCCTAGCTCACACCACTTTTTGGGAATAGGTCCGCGTCCGTCAAAATTGGGGAAAATATTGACATTCTGGGAAATTTGGGGATAACCGTTATATTAATTATTCTTCATAAACATTTTTGATCTTTCTTAATCAACTAAATTTAGTTTTGCAACACAGAGGAATGTAAAAAAAACCAAATTAAATTACTAGATATCCAGCTATATTTTCTTAAAATTTAGAAATCAATCTAATAAAAATAAAATCTTTGATCCACTCCAGTTTGATCGCTAGATTTTTTATCAGCTCCAGTTTGATCGTACAAGTAGCCATGAAACTGGAGCGGATCAAAGATCTGATTTTAATTAGTTTGGGGAGAAATAACTTTTGGGAAAATTAACACATTCAATTGGGAAAAAAGGTACCTTTTTAATTGGGAATGGGGCCCATAAACGGCCCAATAAATAATACAACATACAATTCTACACTGGTTGTGCTAAAGCTTTACAAATACCATCTGCAGCTTTATTTTTTTTTTTCATAGTTTATGATTGACTAGAGAAGCTACAATCTATTTAATAAAACATCAAAAATAAAAGTATTCTTTAGACTATC